GTATTCTTAGACTACTACAGCAATAACGGAACCATTTCATTGGATGCTTGAACATCCCTAGAGTGAACTTTTAGATGAGGAATTGGGTTTCCTTTAAACTTAATTCTTCACATGATTGCCTGGAAAGGATGAAAGAATAGAACTATAAAGGTTCTTATATTCCCTTCTAATATAATATTGAATGCTTTATATTCAAAAAAGTCTTTTGATTTAAATAAGATCAAGGAAATGTAGTTCAACTAGGAGGGAATTTTGCCTAAGAATTGTGAGGTTATGTAAGTGTACCTATTATATGAATTATAAGATTAGGTTCTAGACATTTTAAGGGGAAACTATTTCTGAAGGAAACAATGCACCATATCTTGTATATTAAATAAATGTTGGTCATATATCTGTTGCTTATTTATTCATTTATTTACACCGACCACAGTTATGAGAGTTGAAGATTTATAATAATTATGAACATATTTGAATAAAACATCCATAATGGGAACTAATATATATATTTAAAATAAACATCCTAAAATCAATATTTGTCTGGTTTTATGTTCACCAAAGATTTTCCAACCAGTTTTCAGAAAGTCTAGAACAGTAAGGTCCAACCTAATTTCTATCAGGAAATCATTCAATAAAATACTACAAGCTTCCATTCAATCCTGAAAAAGATTACCTACAAGAACAAATAACACTCATGCCTCGACTGAATGCTAATTAATGGTCCAGATAAACTACTTACTTTAGCTTACTCCATAGTTGCCCTAAACTGCAGTCTTATTAATCTTCTCCCCAAAAGGAAAGGTTAGAGAAAATAGCATATGTAAGACTGTCAGGGTCTCGGGATGGCTTGTAAAGAAGGGGTCACAAATTCCTTTCAAATCTGCAGGTATCACCCTATTCCAAACTGAGGCATTAAAAATAAACCTGGAGCCAGATTATCATGCCCCCTGACACCCTGAAGAAACACAAAGAGCATGGATCCAAGTCGTAAGTAGCTGAAGAAATACCAGAGAAGAAGAAACCACAGGCAAAAACAAATTTTTGGTAACATGATAAAATGTTGTCCTAGTCATAACACTGAATACCACTCATAAATCAAGAATTTGGCAACCAGCTAAGAGTTCTGTTTGATGCCTTCTCCCCCACAAATGATTGAAACTTCTAAAGAAAACTGACGGTATTGGCATCTTGGCTACAAAATAATACAGAAATGATTGTGCTTCTTTATACCACAGTGATAACCTGAAATGTGCTTGCACTCATAGTCTTCCTTGCTTTCTAGACATTGTTTCTGCCACTTCATCTCCTGAGGCTCTCCAATAAATCAATAACCCATCTAGGATTGGCATACAGAGAGATCCCCACATAGGGGATCTGACAGTAGCAATCAAAGGAACCATTCCAAAGAACATCGGGAACCATGAGACATCTGGGGCAGATCATTCTAACTGGTATACGTGTCCTGTGGCACTCATGGGTCTAACTTATCAGGATCAGAAAGTGATCTCAATCATAGCAAGAATGCTTTCCAGATCACAATGCAATTGCTTCAAAGCCAATTGCATAAAATCCATTGTATGTTGCCTACATGTGGCAGGCCCATGATTAAATGGGCTTGTTTTTAAGTACTGTCTAGATTTTGATGCAAAGTTGTTATCCATATATATAAAGATGCCCCTCTTACACTTCCTGAGTTCAAATATTATTCTAGGCAGATATCTTATACTACTTTGTTTGAATGTCTATAAAAGCCACAGTGTAATGTGATGACCCGGGGCGTGGCACAAAAGCAGCAAAGTCACAAAAATAGGTAAAGTCCCTTTAATACCTCCAACTTGGCTCCCAATGTCCAGTTATCCTCGGCTGGAGATCAAACTCTTCCAAAAACAGTTTACAAAGGGAAGAAATGCTGTCCAAACCCAAAGTACAGATAAATTAGAAATTAAAAAAAAAACACAAACCATGCTGAAATAATTAACACAACAGGCCAGGATAATAAATTGCAGACTTCCGAAAGATAATGAAGCACACAGATGGGAGGATGCCAAAACCCAGATAAGCCTCAACAAAGATAACACACACTTTGCTTCCAGCAAGGTGCTGTGTGCAAACGCCCTTCTTATATCTTATTCTCCCAGCTGCAACTAATGAAAGGGATCAGGGCCTTTTTCTCTCCCGTAAACCACATTGCTCCCTTCTCCGTTCCTCCCTGCATGCCCTAGGATGAAGAGGGGGTGGCCCTGGGTCTTCCTGTGAATGCCCAGCCGGACTGTGCCCTTCCCCCATTTCTTCCACAGCCACTGGAGCCACACTCCCATTCCCTGTCAGCTGCTCAATCTCCCCCTCAGAATCAGACTCCAACAAGGGCATGACAGTGTATTAGATTTTAACAATGAAAAAACAATCATGCCAATTCACTTATTTTGTATTATGAAAATATGAGGTGTTTTGATTGCCAGAATATATTTTAGTATTCAGATAAATAAATGTATTTAAATTTTATTAAATATTACATTATTAAATTGTTGCTATCATCTGTGTACTATTCAATATACTTCAACTTTATATTAAAATGTTATTTTAAAAGCCCCGGGAGTCTTGCTTCTGCCATATGACAAACTTGCTGCAGAAACTACACTGGCTAACTATATGTTTCACGTGCAAGTCATGAGATTCTGGTTATTACCTCTAAAACCATATATATTACTCAGGGCCTGGACACCACCCAACCCATAATTTTATCCACCCAACCCCCCAAAGCAGAGAATCCCCAGCTATTGCAAAGTGTGACAGAAGAGTGGTGGTGGGGAGGGCAAGACTGAATACTTTCTGTCAGAGGTCTCCTCTTCTAGCGGAGCTTCTTCCTGAGGCAAGGGTAGTTCTAGCAAAACAATACAGTAATACTAATTTTAAACAGACATGAGGTTGTGTTGCTTAGGTAACAGGAAAACAAATAAGCACAGAATGTATTTCTAAGAAAACAACAGCTGAAATCCATATTTAAAGATAACATAAATATTAAAATGATATTGCTTGATTGGTATAACATTAGAATGGTCATATCAATAAATACTGTAACTGGTTTAATACCCATTGATGAGAGCAATCTGAATAAATAAATGAATAGTGCAGTTTCAGTGACGTCTATTCAGAATTAAGTCTCTTATTCAATGGTGTTGGAGGACACAGAATTGTAGCCTTAATAGGCAATCTTATACAGGTTTACTCGGCACTAAATCAGATTTAACATAGACTTGATTTTCATTTAAAAAACTGTAGTGAATGGAAGTTAGTTAATGCCAAAAAGCTATATTTACTATGGTCAAGCTGATCTTTGTTACTTATATAGCTCCTCTTAGGAGTGTGTGGGCATACATGTGTAAAATTCCTTAAGATTTAATATTCCATTTTTCAGTATGACAACATAAAGGAATTAACTGTTTATAACTAAAAAAGGTATAAATAATTTAATATCAGTTGATAGAAAGTGAAGGATATTGCTTTGTCTTTCAATAAAAGTATAACTGCTAAAATATACATTTAACTTTAGTCAGTTGTGATTTTCAATTTATTAATAATGTAAGATTCCACCTGTATCTCTTCTAATAAATCATAAATGTGCTATTCATCATGAATCTGGTTATAATACAAAGATTTGGAAACAACTTAAGCTCATATACATTCTGAATAACTTTTGACATCTAATGCTTCTTTATTAAATATGTTACATAAATGGGCAATCTCTACAGATATGTAACTGAAAGACTCTCACCCTAAGCCCATTCATGACTTTCCATGGAGTCCAATCAATCATTATTCTAGATTAACAACAGTGTTTATATTCTCATATAAACTGTATTTTATGTATCCTCAAGTACATATTAGTAATTTTACCACATGGATACTTGTCTACTTAAGAACTAGATCCCATTAGAACTTTGAATGCTGCACCGTGATGTTTATTTCCATATATATTAATTGAATTCAATTTTCATGGTTATGGGAGCTTGAATAAAAGGTACAACACCCTAATCCAGGTAGTGCTACCATTTGATTTGAATAGGGTTAATCTGCTTTAAATGTTAAAATTTTTTACTCAGCAAAACAGAAACAGTAATATAATAAAAAGGTCTCATTTAACCATTTTTAAAAGATAATATTGTGAACATTTCTACACATATAACTACAATTCAATGTCTAATAATATACCGAAGCTTTCTATGTATACAATACAACAATACTGCAGAAAAATTGGAAGACAGTGAAATCTATTCTAAGCAACAGATGTGGTACTATTACATCTGTATTGGGTTCAGAGAGAGAGAGAGAGAATTGTAAAAAAAACTATTTTGCAATATTTGTTTAAAAAATTAAGTATTCTTACTTTTATTTATGGGTTTAGGTGAAAATTTTGAAAGTGTTTTTTTAGATAACCAACCTTATCTTTTTCTCATATTTATGTTTATAGGAAACTCATGGGTTTGAAATATATATATTACATACAAAAGGTACCTGTCATGTTCATGTCTGTTAACTCTTTCACCGTAAAATAGTTTTAGGTTAATATTTAAAGGAACAGCCATTTATTTCCAAACATTGGGAAAATTGCTAATTTGAAAGCTCAAAATTCAGCACTTCTTTGTTAGAACATGCAGAATTCAAGCTGGAATTATGAAAAAAAAATCTTAATAAATAGCAAACCTTTGTAATAATATTTGATCTGTTTCCTGTAGTGATGTTTATTGTTATCACTGTAAGGATTATTATTTTTGCCAAAGAATAGACCAGAAGAACTATTCCTTCATTTTCATGTAAAAATGCTTGGAAATTACCTATTGTATGAAGCAAAGAGAATGACTCTTGCTCATACAGATACAGATAGAATTTTGTAAAATGTATATTTTAAACACTGCAGATCATAAAACAGACTCTGTTCTATACAGATTCTTGAAAAGCAAAGACTCACCTACCACCATAAGCTATAAGCAGAAAAGAACACTTACCATAAACTGTACATTGTCAAATCCATTGGCCAGCAAGTGGTTTTCATACTGAGGTAGCCCAATATTTTCCAACCATTGTCCCACAGTCTGGACAGGGCATCTGGGTGCTGAAAGAGTTTGAGAAGGGAGGCGTTTAAGCAATGAATATCCATCCACAGGATAATAGCGATGGTCCTGGGCTGAGAGGTGGCATTGCCACATTGTGTTCCGGGCAAAATTGGTATCAAAGGAACCTGCCAGCTTGTCCAATTAATGCTTCCAGTAAATTCCAAAGTCAGAAGTAGCACATAGTTTCCGGGGCACACTATAGAGTAAGAACTGCTCCTAACTGAACATTTCTGCATTAATCTGTACTACAGACCAGTACGTCATACAGTGGGGGGGAAACATATCAAGCTGTCAGCTAAGCTGTTTTCCGTTATATGTGATTGTTGAAATACTCCACAATGAGAAATGATCTGCTAGCAGCAAGGAATCTTTCATGACGTGCTCCCACACTCATCAGTATGCAGCTCTATGCTCCTTGCTCCCCCTTGCTTGCCTGCCCTTATTACCCAGCCTAGGCTCTACCTCACATTTTCAATAATAGCTATCAGAAAAGGCAAGAACGTTTTTGTCTGCAAGCTCTAAGCTTGCTGCTGCTGCAGTTTCCACCTACACACCCATCCAAGCATCAACCCTGAATGATGGGAGCAGTCAAAACAAATGCAGAAAATAGCGGGTCATCAGAGAAAAGCTAACATGCTAAAATCTGAATAGAACCTTTGTCTGTTATGCATTAGAGAGATTTACTTGTTGTAAATTGTTCCTGTTTCAAAGGAGATCAGGCATTGCAAAGCATGAACTGAGGTCTGTGTCACAGTTTGCTATTTGCTTTTTTTTAAATGCTGCACTGAGGTTTGCTCTGCTCACAATATACCCTAAACCGTTGTTCTTATTATTAGCCTGTTTTTCATCCAGTTATGAAAAACTGGTTGTATTTTTTCCTTAAAATTGAAAATAATCTAAATTGTAGAACATCTTTAACATTTCAAATAATTATTTCTTCATCTCTCTGATTTTTCAGCTACAGTGCACCAGAATACCATCTGTTAAAATTCAACCATTCATGTTTTGGAGGAAGAGAGATGCACATGCACGCACATGCACACACACAAACACACACACACTTTCTTCTTAAAACAGGAATTGAACCATGACTGAATGGATGCCATCGGAATATTATAATTTAAAAAAAATAACATTTAACATTTCTAAATTTACCCGACATGTTTGGTAATCCAGAAAGAAAAGTACAAAAAGGTATTTCAAATACAATCCTAAATATATATAAGCGAAATTATTTTTCTTTAAAAAGACCCATCCATTAGTAGATAAATATGCTTTTCTTTGTTCAGAGTATTTTTAATCAGTTCAAGCATGTTATACGGCAGGCACACACTGCAAATCAATATACACAATCCCTCAGCCAAAATCTATACACTGATTACATATGTAAAAATTAGAAATACAAGAAATGCTACTAAGAATGAAAGATACTTCTGTATATCATATTCAAATCTTGCAATCTTGCTAGTATGAAACCTATTGATGTCTCATCGAAGCATTATAAAATGGGCAAATGCTGGCTGGCTTATTCTTATACAGATGAAAGAAAGAATGACTCTGTGGAAAGATCTTAGGGAATCAAAGTGAAAGATGACATTCGGCAAAACATGGGCACATTTATTCAAACAAGTTTAGTAAACTAAGTAAAATTTACTTTCCAGTAATAAACTGGTCCTATGAAAAGCGAAATGCATATAAAATCACTGATACTGAAGGCTTAATTCTGCACAAGACTGCAGGTTTTATTAAGGACTGCAGTTCTCACCATCAAAGTTACATTTAATGTACATCATAATATCTACATTCAATCAGAATTGTCAACTTGCAATTAATTTTTTTTTAAAAGGAGTTCATAAGGACGCTAGTATTTTGGTAGACTTCAGATTACAGTTCTTTTTTATTATTATTCTATGCTTGGGCATCAACCCACCTATAACTAAAATACAAAATAGCCCTTTTTTCCTGAAATGATATATAAAGGAAATTACAAGTTGTAAACTGTCAAAATTGGATGCAAATTCATATCCCTTCAGTGGCAAAACAAATTAATATTTGACAGTTTTCTATCAAAAGCAATAAAAAACAATTATGATTAATCAATAAATCTGAGGAATCAGGTAACCCAACTTCGCAAGATACAAATTTTTAAAAACAACTAATTCAAACATCTTAGTGTTCTTCAGGGAGAATACAGAGGACCCCCTGACATTTCATGTAATATACACAGTTGAACATGCGTGTAATAATGCACAGCTGAACTTGTGAATTACCAAAACAACCAAAATGACACAAAAGAATGGTGGATTGTGTTGATTTGATGGGAGAAGTGCAATAGAGAAATATATTCTGGCTTTTCCAAATTGAAAACAGAGGAGAATAATATAAAATCTCTGAAATGATGATTTGTTAAACTACATAGGATTATTTCAGATACTATTTCTATGAAGTCTTTCAATGATATTTAAAATGTGATTTACAGAAACTATTAAAACAGTTATGTATTATATTTACCCGAACAGAAAATAATCCTTATTTTAAGACAATCTTTCCAAAAAAGAGGAAGCTTAGAATTAAAAAAATAAAAACAAAGGATTATTCTTTGGAATGTTCATCTTCCCAACTATGTCAAAGGAAAACTGCCAATCCTAGACTTTCCACTCCCTCAAAAAATAATACATTTGTATATGAGTTTCTGTGTGTGGTCAACAGCATTCATAGAATGATGAAATAGAAATTGCAATGTAACACAGCAAATTCAACCCTGTTTCAGCATCTGGGTGATGTCATGCCACCACAGAAAAGAAGTGGGGGTTGCAGCACAGTTCAGTAACACTGCGGACATTGGTATGATGCACCTTGCCCCCCCCCCCCCCCATTACATGGCCACTTTGTGTGTATACCCTAGTTAAATGCCACACTCCAGGCAGGAGTGGGACTTTGGACAAAATGTTTAATTTAATATTAAATGAAGTAATAATGATAAAAGTAAAATGTCTTTAAAGTAAGACATCTCATTTGTAGAATTAATTGCTCCCCAATCTGCCTATATAACTCAAAATCATTTTTTCTCACAAATACATATATCCATATTATTACTACTACAACAGTAAAGAAAAAGAAAAAAATAGATGAAAGGAGTAGCTTCATTGAGTAGGGAAGATGAAGGATGGAAATAAAATGCAATGTAGATGAGTCTAAACAAAGAATAGCCTATTCACTCCCAATAAATATGATTAGAACCTCTAGGTTTATTCAATATTATAAACATTTGCAACAGTCTATTCCAGTTCAAGGGATATTAACCCTAGAGTTTTTCTTTGTCCTCCCCCTCCCCCAATGTATAGAGGATGAATGTCCATAATGTAGCAGGAGAGGAAAAAGCCCAGTAATCATGAGACTAAGCTTATGTACGAGCAGTGAAAACCCAGTAATTGTGAAACCACGCTTCTGAATAAGCACCACCACTTCTGACATTGATACAGAAACTACAACTTGAAACTAGATATGTGATCTTGAAGTCCCCGAGAATGCAGGCAGTATCTGGTGGAGAACCATTGGATACAAGAATAAGCAGAACAGAATCTTCACAGAAACAGATTCTAGAAAATCAACTGCACCAGAATTGAGAAAGCTGGCATGTGCTTAAGACTGCCTTAGCTGTCAAATTTCTTATTAGAAAAAATCAGTAACAGCCTTATCTTGAAGCTATGTACCTTGTGCTAATGTGAATTCCTTAATCCTTGGGCAGGAATTCTTGAACCCTAACACTATATATGGGTTGTTTGAAGGAACTTTGACATTTGAACATTGCTACTGTCTGACTCCTTACAACTCACGATGAAAGACTAAACGCTGATTTACTGTTTTACACCGTAAAACAATAGTAGGTAGCCTTGATTTACAACTACCCTGTTTATTTAACCTATTCCAGCCAAAACAAAAGTCAGGATGGAGAGGCTAGCACAAAAAAAATCAGTCTATGATCAAACTACGTAATTAAGAGCACAAAGATACACAGTCATATAAATCTGTTTATACCCAAATCTTCATCTGCCCCATTCCACTTTGCTAGAAATGCCAGTTTGTCCATTTTAAAAATATTATGGGAATCCAGAAAGTTTCATAACATTCCAAACATACGGTATTTTATTTATTTAACTATGTGATCAAGAATTTCTAGGTGATCATGCTCAAGTCATCTGGATGAATAAATTAATAACTTACAATAGCTACACCTCCAAACTCTGCTGGAGCCACAAGGAAAATTGTGCTCAGTATTTGAAGTCCCTCTGAAAGTTAATATTGCCAAGAGATGTGTGGGACACCTATGAAATGGACTGAGGCCTCTGACAAATGTATTAGTGAGTTTAGACTGGTAAATCAAGAGCTGACATTAAGTCAGTCCACGTTAAGGAACCAATTTTAGGTACACTTGACTGACAAGATCCTGAATGAATAAGTGAATACAGAAAAGCTACATACACCTCAAGCCTTTATGCAACTTGGTGTTATCACTACATGACTAAAAAGCTGGAGAGTTTAGTTGACAACAGTAGTGGTCATAATTTAGTCTTTGGAGAACAAGTAACAGGACTTCCCTGCACTGAAGTCTTCAACAGAAGAGCCTATGGACCTTGGTGGCATTCAGCTTTGGCTGATGCAGCCTCATTGGTAAAAGCTAAAGATCTAGCAGACAAGTCATCAGGGTTATTGATGCTTTAATCTCTCAAAGATGATATATTCTAACCATATTTCAAACAGTCTGCTAGTCATAGCATCAACCAGATGGTAATTAATCTATTACAATGAATTATTTCCGCTCTTGTCATATTTTTACATTACACAACCTGCCAAATCTAATTCTGGACAGAGGAGCCCAATTCAATGCTTGGTTTTGATGGAACATGTTCCAGTCCTGTTGCTAGGAATGAATTTGTCCGTAGTATACCATTCTCAGTCAACTGGTTAAACAGAACAGACTAATGCCATCGTAAAGGGT